CCTATGAATTATAATATCTATTAATTCCATTAATTTTCCTGTAAGGGAACCAATATTCTTATCCTAATTTTACTTTCATGGACTAGCTTCTTTGCCCACATTCGTCCTTGATGTTGGAACCCTTGTCTATTTAACACTACACCCGGGCGCCTGTGCAGCGGCCCTTGCACACTTGTCACTGTATTCAGGCCATACAGCGCGTCGCTTCCAGGGGACGCCTTAGCATTAACACAATTTCTTAAAGGATTCATGTCATTATTATTCGTCAAGTTTTACGCTGGCTGTCGACTACCTAACGCAACCCTCCACTTTTCTCTTCCAGGACTTGGGACCTGACAACGGTAGTGTTTAAAGGTCAAGCATGGATGCTTGTGCATATTTTGGCACATGAGATGCATGGCTTTGCTTGTCTTATTTTTTTCTCACAATCTATTTTTGTGTCATTAAAAACTGTGGAGATTGTGCAAATGGCCTTTGATGTTCTACCATCAACTTGGCCGTTTTCATTGCTTATGAACTCGTTTCATTAAATGAAAAGAAAATATTATGAGTCATTGCTTATGAGTTTAGAAATGAAATTATTACTTTTAGGTAAAGTTTATGTCACTTCAAATCTATGATGTATATATACGGACACAGACACGATATGAACACAAGACACGCCAATTATTGAATAATATAGGACAGAGTTGGACATGATATTATAATTTTTATATCTTAAAAGTAGTGTATATAAATTGAATAAGCAAAATTTTAAGAATAATTGAGAAAAATTAAGTCATTTAACTATGATTTGTGCTTAAAATGATTAATATTAGAATGTCGAGACTCGAGAGTCAGACATAGATATCATGTGAGGCATCGAGAGGGTAGGGATAATGTTATCGAGAGTCAGTCATATCTATGTTGTGCAATGGGCATCGGGCATCGATGTCAAGACAACATCGACTCTCGATGTCAAAATGATGTCGGTCGTCGGCGTTGAGATGATGTTGGACAAAAATGAGATGTGAGTGTAGAATTTATTGGCATCGAGCGCAATGTCAGGACAACATTAGACATCAATGTTGAGATGATTTAAAACATTGTTGTGACGACATTGGAGAGATGACATCGAGCGTTGTTCTGAAACCCTAGTTATAATTCGTTAGAGAGAAATAAAAATGAGAATGTTTGGGGAATGAGATTGAGTATGAGCGATTGATATAAGGTTGTTAAGAGAAAATAAAAATTTTAAATTTTTTTTATAAATAAAAATTTGAAGTACAAGAAATTATATTTAAAAAAATTTCATAAAATATTTAAGACGCATGTTGGACACGCTTGTCCAACTTATTTTAATATTTTTTTAATCGGACATTGCTGATACATGTCGGACGCATGTTGTGTCATAGACGTGTCGAACATTTATAACTCATTGAGAAGAAGCGTCAGTGTATCATAGCTTCAAATAGTTGGAGCCACTAGGATTTATCACCCAATTTGACTTGGTCCTTAACTATCCTGGTCTAGATAGATCAGTATGATTTTTTTTTTTTCATGTTGGTATTTGTACATCATTAATTCAGTGCAACTGTTTACTTAACTGTCTCATTTGATTTGGAACTCTTAAAACTTAACATACAGTTTCTAATGAAAGGTTGTTTTAGCATTTTTACTAGAACAGTTGCTTACTATTGTGCTCCGTGCTGTTCAAAATATATGACTATGCTTTTGAATTTTTATTTAGCTAGAACTTAATTATCCTTTCCTTATCTTGCAGGACGCTCTATTGAGCATTGATCCCTATAACTCACCTATATGGACAGGAAACTGGTCTCAGCTTTGTCCTACTTGCAAGGTTCTTGCCCTCATTGTCTGAAATAATTTATTATAATAAAAAATGCCAACATGTTTTGTTGGGCTCTGTTTAGAAAATCACATTTGTCGAGTTGTGTTTTCATATTTTTCCTTTGAAGGTGCTTTTTTCGAAGAAGTTTTCTTACTATTCTTAATCTGCTTGTCAGATAATCAGGCCTCTGCGATCCAAACACTGTCCCACTTGTAAGCGTTGTGTGGATCAATTTGATCATCATTGTCCATGGATATCCAATTGCGTTGGTAAGGTGAGAAGTTGATTTACATGTTTGTGTGCATTCTTTTGGCTATGCTATTTTTGTAGTATCTGGTCCTGCTTAAATATGGTTTTATATGCTCATCTAATTGTGATTTATGGTATAACCTTCTATAGTGATTTGGCTACATGCTTTCCAACATTTTCTTAATCTCTTGCAGAAAAATAAATGGGACTTCTTTGTTTTTCTTTGCTTGGGATGCCTGACTTCTCTACTTGGCGCTGTTATTGCAGTTCATAGTATGTACCTGAAAGTGCCCAAAATATCCCTTTCTTTGTTATTGGGCATTCAAGAATTACAACTTTTGATGTCAAATGCAGGGATGTGGACGGGATCACCAGTCAAACCATCTTCTGGAAGGTGGATGCATCATATGGTGACAGAACACCCCGGAGCAGTTTCTTTTCTCTTGATGGATACCATCTTACTAGCAGGTGCATCGGCTTTAACAATAGCACAGGCATCTCAGGTAAAGGAATAATGTAATTGTTTACCATACATTTTAATTTGTTATGGCTAAGTTGGAATTTAGCCTGCAGTTTGCTACAACTCAATCTACCTAAGGCTGGCAGGACTACATAGAATGATTTACTTGTGATTTATTGATTCCATTGCTTGAGATGTAGCATACATTTTTTACATTTAGTGTTCTTGGGATAGTTGGTGTGAGCTCTGAAAATTCTGTGCCCCGGCCTCTCCACGCGAGCTCTTTTCTTTTCGTTTATTTGTGTATGGCTAGGAGAGTTTTAACATATTTAGGTTTAAGGGTGAATTTTCAGAAAGCAGATTGGGTTTATGAATAAGACACTACCCAAAGATTTCACCCTCATTTTGCGAGGACTTTATAATCTGAGTTTTGGTTTCTTTTAGGCACAAGCCTCTATATTTAATTATCCCTCCAGATAATGAGAGAACTTTTGATTAAGGCTAGTCGTTAAAGAGGTTCATAGGTCGCAAATCCAGTGTATAATAGCAACAGTTTTAGGGTTTAAATTTGGGATATGAATTTTGGAGTTTGAGACTTAAAATGTATCACCATAAACTTAAAACTGATGATGGGGGGAAATAAAGATGAGCCCGATCAAGATCCCATAGTTCTGTCGTCCCGAGCTATCATGGTTCTACTTAGTCAGAGGAGGTAGTCATGTAACACCCCACAGTACTCCATGACAGTACTGTAGAGTATAACAAGAATAACCAAAATATTTCCACATCTAACCTTTCATTCAGTTCATTTTATTCCATATCTATATAAAAGATCATATAAACATCATTTAATAAAACAAATGAAGCATCTAATAGTTCGCAAGTTTCATCAAAGACTTAGTACATAGTCACTAAGGAAATCCAAACAAATACAAAGTAACACAACATTTAAAAGTGTTTACTAACCTCAAGAGTAGACTTCCAAATTTAAAATAAACATTAACATAAAACTTAAATACTTGCATATCAAACTTCCTCCACTTTTCCTTTAAAAATATTCAGTAAGGAAAGTACTGGTGAGCTATGAGGCTCATCAAGTTAAGCTGAATTAATTAATAATTAAAATAACATAACATGAATGATTACAACATTGAACTCATTACTGGAAACATTAAAAGTCATACTGATGTGAAACCAGGAATTGAGCTTAGAAAATTAATAAAAATTCGTTAAAATAATGATAGTACAATCTTGATGCTTCTTCAAAAAAAGATCTTAGATTTCAATCAAGTCTAGGCAAGTTGTTATAACTAAATTAGCAAGATCGATAAAATAACGACGTCAATTAAAAGTAATGACAATGAAAAGCCAACTAGAATCCGGCGATTAACAAAGCGATCGTCTCATCTTGAGGCTTAAGCTCACTCTTCTATGTCTAGGGTTGTCGGAAGAAGAAGAACCACACAAGGGATGAGACCACTCCGAGGTAGACGATGCCAGCGATCCGTAGTGATGGAGAGGAAGGCGTAGGATGTGGAGGTGGCGTGGAAGGTCGGCCGTCGATGGTCCACTCATAGTCTGGACTTTGTCTGTCGATAACTTGCACGAGGGTGGGGAGGATCCAATCCAAGTAAGCTCCAACGGTGTCGTCGTCGGAGTCAAATCCCGCGTCGAAGAATGACGATCGTAGGATGTCGAGTTTACTGTGGGCGTCGAACACCAGTCCCCATTTAAATTCGGGGTCCGCCATGCATCTTGTCGGAAGGGATGAAACGCAAAAGAATGGGGAAGGGAGAGGAGGAAGGTGGCGGGTTGGAGGAGGAAGGGTGGATTGTCTTGAGTGTTTGAGAGGATTGATTAGAGAAAGGCTCCAAGGAAAATAAAACTGAAAATCTGAAGTAATTTCAGTTTTAGTAGTGGTGGGAGGGAATAAATTTGAGGAATTCAAATTAATTCCAATAGGGATTGAGGGGGGAGGCAATGGGAAGAATTTTGGGCTGATTTAGTGGTGTTATTAATGTCATTTGGAAGAGAGAAAAGGTCATTAATGAGGGGGCCGACCATAAGAAGAGGGGGAGATGGATTTAGGAGTTATGAGAGTGGGGCCCAAGTTTAAGTAAATAATTTAATTAAATCTGAAGTTTAATTTCAGATTTAATTATATCTTAAGTAACTTCCCAAAATTTAAAGATAAGAGAGAAGCAAATTTGAATTTCGAATTTGGCTTTAATCTCTTTAATGGAATTGCCTAATTGAATAAGCACAAATTAGGAAGGTGAATAACTCAAGAGATTTGAAATTCAAATGGTGGGAGGATCCAAAGGGGGAGGCGGCGGGATGGGGCTGCTGGGCTGGCTGGCGGGAGGCTGGGCTGCTGGCCGGCGGGAGGCTGGCCGGCGGGTGGCTAAGCTGCTGGCCGGCGGGAGGTTGCAGCCAGGAGGCCGACAGCTTTGGGCTGTTTGGAGTAGGCGGCGGCAAGAGCAAGGGGAGGAAGAATTGGAATTTTCTAGGGATTCGACGACTACGAATTTACTAACCTCAATTGTCTTCAATTTGAATTTCCACAAGGTTAGCTAGCACGAAAACTAGAACTCACAAAGAGATCTAGTTTTCTCCGGCGAACTCACTAAGAGATCTTGGAGGAGTGAACTCACAAAGAGAACAAGGAGCAAATTTCATTTCATTCAAAACTAAAGCTATTACAATGCATCATGCCTCATATAGGGAGGCCAAAATAAACATAACTGAAATGACATAAATGCCCTCAGGGCTACATAAGTGAAACAATGCCCTCTGGAGCAAACTAGGAAAATAAAGGAAAATACACTCATAACATAAGATGCAAATAACTCAGAAATAAAGACTCTGGATCGTAGCCGTCGATCTGCGTCTCCGGTAATGGTACACGTGTCGAAATCTGATGTCCCCATCACATACTTAACATTATGCTTCAATGTTTTTGGATTTTTGTTGAATATAAATTTTCTGTGAAAGATTTGACAATACTTTCTTAACTTTATTCAATGGAGCTCAGGTAAATCTGACATTATCGCCATTGAAATTCATAGAGGACCCTTTTGCCCTGCCTGCCAAGCAGGTATCATAATTCCTGGGGTCCCTTTTATCCCACTTACCATGCAGTTCTTGTATGAGAACTCTTTTATCTCAACTACATTGTTAAAACATTCATCATATATAGCCAAATTTTACATTATTTTGTATATTTATTTTTGGTTGCTATTCAAACATATTGACAACAATTTCCAAAATCTTTACCAGCTAGCTTGGCTCTCACTGATTCAGAGTTATAGCTGCCTTACATTAGCGACAAATATGATGCCAAGTGAAAATGAGTGGTTACTTGGAGACTTCTTTTAGTCAGCTCAAAACCTATGATAGAAAAACTGACGTTATTTAAAGATTTGTGAACATAATGATTTCAACGAGTAAAACAAATATTAGTCCAGATCTTGTTAAACTTAGGCTGTTCAGTTTTACTGTTTATAATCAAAAAGAAATTGCGTCACCTCTGTGTTTGTAAGTTCATGCGTCAACACTTGCACGAATTTGTTTGATTGTGATTGGCTCGATAGTGCCTCAATAATTTATATATCTTGCACGTATGTATAGATTTATAGGCCGTGTACCCTCATATTTATACATATGTATGTTTGTAAGGATAAATACAAATATATTCAACGAAATTCATTTTCTGTAATTTATATAAGGCTTCAAAATATGTTTTATGTTCATGAACTGGCCATATTGGACTTGGTAAGTAATGGATCTGATCTCAAAAATTTTTGGGTCATTTACTTAAATATGGTTCGATTAATCAATTGCATGGTTTTATGCGCAGATAGCACGAAACATAACTACTAATGAAATGGCAAATTCTGCTCGGTACTCCTATCTTCGAGGCCCAGACGGGCGTTTTCGAAATCCTTATAATCTTGGCTGTAAAAGGAATTGCACTGATTTCCTCATCCACGGATACAGCAATGATGATGAAATAGCTTGGCCATCGCTTCACCAGGCTGTGAGATGAAACTTAGCCTTCCAGGGGTGAGTTATTTTTCTATTCAATATCTGAACATATTATGGAAAAAAAGAGAAGAAAGATTTCAAAATAAGTTAATTGTTGTAGCTTTTTGTTGCTTATGCCTTCTCTCTTTATTGTCAAAATCATTTTCTCAATCATAATTTTTACTCCGCTTTCGTCACAGCAGTTTTTTTAAACGTAAATTTTATGGGAAAAAAAAATTGTATAATTTAACAAGCTCTCAAATCAAATGAAGAGCGATGTCGTATGTGTATATTACTACATTTAATTTTAAGGGAGTACCATTCGTTTCACCCTTATTGAAAATCTTAGTTCTGTTTTTTCTTGACATGTTACTTATCCGTGCTATAATTGTGTTGTTTTGAAAACCTTTGGGACCCAGCCACTTTTAATTAAGACAGGCATGTGGCCTTTTCTATATATAATGCTCCATCTTCTGTCATAAGATTATGAGTTACACATGATCAATCGCATCATAATAACTTACCTCTTCATCTCTTGCATCATCTTTATACTCTATATCGGAAAAAATTATTCTGTGCGGAAGCAGAATTCTTTCCGAATGCTTAAGCCCGCGGCTCGGTACCACTCGGTACTGTGGCTCGGTATAGCTGACGTGACTCATTCTAATTCGTATCCGGATGTAGAGTTGCGTTCAATGTCCAGATCGAATAATGTCTCCTATATCGAATACTCTTTTGCCCCCATCTCTCTTTTTGTATTGTTACTACTAGTTTCGGTGGTTTAGTCTTGATGCCCTTATCATATCAATTTACTTAATTTTCTCCTGAATGAAAGAGAAATGAAAAGAAACCGAATGCTATATCTTTGGAAGTAATAGTGAAGAAGTACGAAGGCAAAACAGAAGAGTGCCTAATTTTCTGAATTACAAGGCTAGAGATGAAGAAGTAGGCAATTGTGAGATTATTGATCTTTTGTGACTCATAATCATTTGGCAGACACTGCAGCATCATCTCAATGAAGGCTGCACGCCTCTCAAGATCAAGACAATAACAACGGGGATTCAACAATCTGATTGAATTGATTCATGGCTTAGAAAATGTTATTTCTAAGTGGTCGAAGGCTCAAATCAAACCTTTTTCAAAATTTATTATTATATATTTTTTAATTTTCTTATCTTGGGCTACATTTACACCAAGTAATTGTTTATCTTTTTTCTGAAAGCAGTTATTCTCTACTCCTAAAGAGAAGTCTTACGGCATTTTGCTAGCATTAATAGTTATAGTTAAAATTCAAATAGAAGAAATTATCTGATTCAATAACTCAATTTTAAAGTTCTTAAGTAAGATATTTTTATTTATTTTATGGTAGATTTTTTTTTTTTTTTTTTTAAATTTGGGCAAACGAACAGTGGTCATAGAAGATAGTATGAAATTTTAGGAAGACTTCAATAATCATTTTTTAGATCATTATTATAATTTTAAAAATAATTTTATGCTTTCGTTGATTTAGGGTTTATTTGTAATTTTAAAATATAGCTTAAAATTCTTGTATTTGTAGTTAAAAGTTAAAACTATTAATATACTATATTTCAATTACGCAATTTTATATTTAAATTCCTTATTTTATGTGAAGTAATAGAATGATTTAATTCATAATTTATTGAGAAGAAAAAATATAAACAGATATTCAAAGGCCAGATTAAATGCGAAGATATATTTTATCACACCTAAAGAGTATACAACTTATTAATTCTTATATTATGAGATTTCTTTTCATATTTGAAATTAAATAACCACTATTGTTAAAGGTTTACAAGCCCGGTTCGGCTTGGGCTGATCCAATTGATGGCCCGTGAGGGTCATATGTGTAAATATTCTTTTTTCGTTTATACTTATATAAGCTGAGCCTCTTACTGTATTTGGGGTTTTTCTTATTTTGTAAATACCGTAAGAAATTAAATGCCAGTAGGAAGGACATTTTCCTTCTCGCCACCACTAGCCCCCAAAGCGCCACAATCTAAAAATATTAATTTTATTTCACAAGCAACTCAGCACAAAAAATTAAAGATCTGTATTTCTTTTACAAACAACGAACGCAAAGTATTTTAAATAAATGATTTTATTTTATATTATATATTGAGTATATTGAATTTTCAAATACAACAACCAAATGGTCTTTAAATTACTTTAAAAGTTAATTAATATTACATTTATCTTAAAATAGATTTAGGAATTTTGAGACCAAGTTAATCTTTTTTCTAAATTCTTTTTGTTATATTTTTCATACCACTTTAATTAGTGTGATATTATAATAACTCTCTTACATTTTATCGAATAAAGACACATAAAAATCTAAATATGTAAGTTATGTGTGAGAAATTTATTTAATATGTTTAAGATAAACAAATAATATATCAAATATATGATTTTATGTGAGAAAATATCAAAACTACCTTTCTCAATATATTTCGGGGGCAAAATTAATATTTTAATATTAAACTGTTAGATATTGAAGAAAAAATAAGTTACTTAATATTTTATAAACTATAAGAAATTATATAAAAATTAACTGTTTATTATAAAAACAATTTATTAATTTGACAAGTACATCAAATCAATAAACAAAAGATATTTAAATATAGATTGTCAAAATATTTCGATATATTTGCATCAATATTACTTAATTTTATTGTTATTTTATTTATTTAAATGTTTACTTAAATAAAGAACTGCTAAGATTATCACTTATTTTCACAGTTGTCAAAACACGAATATTTCGACGATAAAAAAATAGAAAATATAATTAATAAATGCAAATATTATAATTACTTATATTTAATTTCTAATTAAGTTACAATTAAAATCAGGAAATAAAAGTAACTATTTTGGTTAATTAAGATTTTAATTATACTTAATTAAAATAATTATTTCAATCAAAATATCAATTAATCATAAATAATTAATGACTATCAGCAATTATAAATTTAATTAATTATACTAACTAGCTTTAGTTCAGGAAGTACGCTCCTTGATTTTAATAATAGGTCTCAAAACTCAAAATCAACTCAATCATACATGGCCTAATTTAAGTTTCACACTGACTGTGGTTGATTTTGTGCCTTATTATTAATAAAATCATCCACGATATATTTCATTGCTAATAAAAGGATTAATAAATTATAAAATGGCTAATTACCATAACTTAATAAAAATAAAGTTTTTATAAACTTAATAAGAATTATAATTAATAGATTGTTAATTATTAATTTTTTGTCAATTAGGTATTTCTTAATTATTAACAAAAAATAATACTGAACTCAATAATTTTAGATAGCTAGTTTAAACGATTCATTGATGATAAATTACTATGACTAATTAATTAATTATTTTATGTTATTTTCATAATTTAGTGCTTATATAACTGATGGCGGATGCATCGTAACAAATTTGGCTAATTGGACATGAATGTCCATGCTATGCATGCTTTCCAAACTTCCGAATCAAATTTAGAGCTAGAATCATCGGGGGGTTCTAATTTTAGCAAACACAAAGTCAAATTAAACAACTCAGTTAAACTGTAAGCAACCTTGTTGTATAATTATTTCAATTATCATACTTTGTTGCTTTTTCCCTTTATAAAATTTTCACACAAAATAGTCAGTGTCCTTTATAACTCTTCTTTTATTTATGTGTGGATTGAATCTTCTTTTTATTCAATATTATAATTTTTTTGACACGCAACAATAATATTAATAAAACTCAAATCAATTTAAATTAGTGTAAACATTTAATTGCAAGCCAACTAATTAATCAATTAATATAGTATCCTTAAATTAGTCATTAAACTAAAATTTATATAAATAATAATGATCCTAGTTAAAACTCAAATTAATTTTCATGCAATTTCAGATATTCTATTAATTAATTATATCAACGCTAAAATAATAAAGATCTTAATTATATGCTAATTTAATCCGTTAATTATTATTATTATTATTTTAAGGCATTTAAGCTAATTAAAAGAAACTCACACATATCACATACTATAAGATTTATCAATCTCACGACCTCTTGATTGATAAGAAAGCTCCCAAACAGACCAAGATGAGCCGCGTAATTACCTTGAAAGGAGAGTGTGAGATGAGATACCTGCAGTTCTGGCGATGCAGGGTGCCAATCCGGAGGCCCGTTCTGATGTGTGGATCGTCGGAAGATGATACCTGCAAGAAGGATTTGAGATTCCCAATCCAGGGAAGAAGAGGAAGAGAGCTTTTCAAAGCTTCAAAGGCTAAAATATATCATTCAATGAGTTTTTCCTACTACATTACTTGCTTATATAAGCTAAATAGAATACTCTAGAAGACACTTGTAAGAAGCACATAACAAACTAATTAAAATATGCCTAAGGAGCAATTTAATTAAGATGCTCTGCATCATTCTCCCCTTGCGTCAAAAAGGGCTCGACTCCGTCGAGGCGTGTTGTAGAGAGGGATATAGGTGTAGAATTTATAACCAATCCTCCTGGGTCGAAGACTTTGAATGCAGTTGAAGATTTTTTTCCTATATCTTCATTTGCTTTCACAGTCATGAATTTGATTAGAAATTCAAGTTGACCAACCAGACCAATGCCAATGGATTCATTCAATGATTTCTTCCAAAACCTCATTGCTTTTCCAGCCTCCTTCGCAATCTCTGATTCAGTAATACCCATAGAAATTCCAATGTTAGCAAGTTTGAGGGTAGGTTCATCATTAACAACATCTCCTGTCATTGCAACAACCTCGCCCGTTTCCTGCAGGAGCCTCACAATTTCTAGTTTGTGTCGAGGCTCAGCACAAGGGAAAATTAAGTCTATAGGCTTTGACAGAAGTTCAAGTTTCTGATTAATAAGAAGACCAGTAAAAATTTTTTTATCGGTGAAACTTCTCCACTTGACACCTTCCAGGTTACGAGCCAATCCAATTTCATGACAGATTAATTCTGCAGTAGAGTCGTTATCTCCAATTATAATAATTACCTTAATCCCTGTTCTTCTACAATATTCAATTACTTTATAAACTTCAGCACGGGGAGGATCTCTAAGGTCAGCAACACCAACGAAGATTAAACTGTTCTCAATTTCATGATATTTGTTT